CAGCAGGAAACTCGAACGAACAGCGATCTATGGCCTAACTAGGCTGTGGAAAGCAAAGCACTGAGATGCTTTACGATGAGAATTTATTCGCACTACAGTACACCTAGTGGTTTCAAATGGTCCCTTATTAGAGAGTGTTCCACCAAAACTTCTCACTTCGTAGAGCGAAACGCAAATCAGATGGTCTGCTTTCACTGTAACCACACCTTAGTAACAATATAAATTCTACATCGTTATTTTTTTAAACGGACGTTTTAAGAGTAATTCAAATCTCTCACCAAAATAACAACCGGTTTCTAGTCTCTTCAGTTAGCTTCATTAATTTCACAGGCAGAATTCCACGTCATGTTTGGAAATTCGCGAGTGCGTTACACCTGGGTGACTGTTCAGTCTGATGTTCGAACTTTTCGTTTGTGACCGAAGCCGTCTTGAAAGTTACAATGAGGTATTACTCACCAGGCTGTCAGATTTTGTCTGTTTTGCCATCGGGAGTCAGTGGATGAATGTAAACTCTAAGTCTATATTTGTAACAAATGGCTATAGTAATGCTATAGTAATAGCATGCATGTAATAGCTTGCATGCATTCCAGCTACAAAATCATGACTCAGTAGTATATGTTCCACTTTACTACGATGATTTTGCCCAGTTCATCAAATTCGGATGACAGAACCGATTAGGCGATCACAAATGCGACGCACTGTCTAGCTGCTGGTATGCGCTTGAATGGGATCAATTACCGCATCACACATCTGGATAAAATGTTGATAAAGAGCGCTAAGCGATGTTCCGTCAGTAATCAGTTCTTAGCCTAGAAGTACCTCCAATGTACGTAAATGCTGAGATGCGTAGAATACTGACTCCAATCAGACAGTACGAAATAAACAAACCATTAATACAAAGAAAATATAGGAAAGTATTGGCACAGAAGATTTTGAAGTCAAAACACCGCGTAGTAAAGCAAAATGTTACAATCCAAATTTTCTGCTGCCGTAAATACATCCATCAGGAAGTGAATGAGGAAAACTTTGAAAAATGTTCTCCACGACTACGGAAATATCTTATTCCTTTTTGCTGTGTTTTGAATTTACGATTTTTCGAACCATTGCGTTCAAAATTTGTAATAGTGTTCTAGTCCAGTTGGGTCTTGAGTTCCTAAAAGAACTGCTCTTGCAATGAACCCGCAAAGATATTTCGGATAATAGTAGGGGATTACTTTTTGTAACTAAGACAGTAGAAGTAAGATAGTAGATTAGCAATGGGATTAGTGGTGATGATGTGGGTTCAGCTAGTACATTGGGGACGTATTAAGGCACGTGGAAGTTCTGAAGGGCGAACGTCTGTATCTGGAACGAGTGCTTTGGGGAGACAGGACTTCACTGAGTACCAGATAGTAAAACTGAAATGCTTTTGAAAATCCTTTGGATGCCTTCTTGCTTGCTAAATATACAATTGACTGTCACCTGTACATATGACCGTAGTCCTGGATATAGCAGTGGGAAATTTTGAAGGCAAATACATGCTCCAAAAAACTGCAAATACGATCACTCGGAGCGGGAAAAGCTCTTAGTTTCAGGACAAAACTGGTTGGACCAAGGATTTCTTGGAAGTAGCTCAGATCCAAATATTTTATAGAGAATATGAAGGACTGGATTTTGCAAAAATTTAAAGTGGTAATGGTTACTTAGCAGGTGACAGTAGAACAGACCGGGGAAGAGCGAGTAATTTTTTTCATTTCTGAAAACCAGGAAGGATAGCACTTGAATGAGCAACTAATATCTTAATTCAAAAAATGGTGGCTTCAGATCACCTTGCATTGGGCTTGAAGATTCGGGGTGGAAATGTGCTGTATGTAAAAGTAAAAGGTAAACGGGGGAGAATACACCCTGGGCAA